AAGAAAACAGTAATCGACACAAATCCAGAAGAACACAGAGATTTAACGAGGTTCGGCAAAGATGCCTACGTCCTCGGGAGCAGAGCGGCGAGTTCCTTTCAATATTCAGAAAAGAGTTTACAGAAATCAGGGATACCTCCTGGGGTTACTAACAGACATATTTATAACCACAGGAGTAAACCTTAGGCACAATATGTAATTACAACATTACCCCTGTACCATACCGCGGGGCTTTGCCCCCGCACCCCAACCCACGTAACTTCCCAATTTGGACAGATTCTTCCGCTCCGCTCTGCTCCGCTTCGATCCAGCGTCTGTCCCGATATGGTATATGAGCCATACCATAACACTTTCCTTCAAATAATCTCAATATTATCTATTTTTATCATCATCAAACTATCAATGTTTATATAATATAGTGGATTAAGGGTGCGTTTGGGACAGCTTATTGAGGTGCGGTGGCGTTTTAAAAACGCCGCTCACTGTTTGGATAATGCGTTTGGCCTAAGTTTTGGAGCCGCTCGGAAACTCCGTTCGCCACTTTGTTAATAGGCGGGGTCAACCCTATTCGTGCTGGCTTCGCGCTCCAGCGGATGATTTTCTAGGGTTCATCTCTCGTTTCCCGACCTCCCCTCCCCGCGCTCTGCGGCAATGGCATCCACGGCTTGCTCTGCGACGTGTATTGCTAGCGGGGAACTTTTCTTCCCTCCTCAGGCCATTCGTAAGGAGAGGCATCCTCCGAAGTTCTGCGGTGGAGGTGTGCCTTCTGCTTATATTAGCAATGGTGCTCTGGTGAATGTTGATTTTGTTTTCTACTGTAAATGTATTTAAAACTGAAACTGTTCGGAATGAAAACTTGCTTAATTAGCATAAGATTTTTGTGAAAGACTTGTTGTTGACTAGCAACCTGTAGAACATTTTAGGAAAATTGAGTAGGTTTTATTCTAAAATTAATGGAATTAAGTGAAACAAACATATTGAAAAATCAGAGAACCTCATGTAAGATAATTCTTGATTGAAGAACTTGGGATAATTCTTGTAAGAGAACCTCATTTTTGTGAGAGTGGCAGAATGGTCATTTATTCAGCAACAACTACCAATAAGTTGTTCTGCATAAGCTCCCCCAAACAACAAGATAACTTATCTTGATAATCTGCAGATTATCAGATTATCAGGATAATCTGTTTATCAGCAAATTATTAATAATCTACAGCTGCCCCAAACAGACCCTAAATTTCAAAAAAGAAATAACTCAACTCAAATAAAAAAACTCAAATAGGCTTAGTCTAAAAGTCATGTGTATAAATATCTCAATAAAAATGTTAGCCCAATTAAAGCATCCCAAATAAACTCCGACATTAGCTATTGATTATTTATAATCTGCTGATAAGCAGATTATTTATAATATGCTCTGATAATCTGCAGATTATCAGAATAAGCTGGCTTGCTGTTTGGGGCAGCTTATTCAGATTAGCTTATTGGTGGTTAAATGACATTTCTGCCCCTGTTATATAAAACTGTTTGGGGCAGCTTATTCAGAATAGCTTATTGATAGAACAGAAGAATATAGTGCAGAAGCATACCATCATCACCGATCAGTTCCAAAAGATGACATGCAGTTCTCACACTCTGGTGAGTACCAGAAGAAATAAAAACAGTACAAAGAAAAGTACAACTATAATGAGAAATATTAAACTATTTAATTTCAAACTTTTGCTACGTCTGTCCTCATCTGCTCTATCAACCTGGGAAAACATCAGATTCCCATGACTGCTGGCAGTGTAATATGTGGGACTGTCAGCCCACCGGAAAAAGCCACAACGAGCTGAAACACCCTTAGTGCAACCGTAGAACTGCCTACCAAAGCTATGAGACTGACGCGACGTGAGCAACGGAGACGGTAGTCCACAATAACACAAAATACCTTTGTCTGTGACTGATATCCTAGAAGTCGTGTTTGCATTACTGCAAAAAAAATCAAAAAATACAAAGTATGTCAGCACTTATCCCAAAAAAATAAAATAGACATACAAAATTAATCTACATATATACGAAGAAAAGAAATACTTGTTGGATTTGTTGTCATATATATCATCTGCTATAGACTCTCTCAGAGCAGTCATTTCGGCTGCACCCTCACCGTCCTGAGTTTCTTATTCAATAGAATCGATCTCATTACCAGCTAAAGATCTTGAAGGTTCTAGGGAGTCAATAATTGGATCATCATCAGCAATATTGAAGTCTGTATCTGAATGCGAGGGATGTCGTCGAATGAAGTTGTGAAGTGTCATAGTGGCCAGCACAATATGCACATGTTTGGGAAATGAATATGAAAGTATATCACATAGGATAACCCATTTTTTCTTCCACACTCCAAACGTTCTTTCAATAGCCCCCGTAAAGAGGAGTGTCATTTGTTAAACATTTCTTTTTTTCCACGAATCATGCCACTTGCTTGCTCAAAATCAGGAATATGGTATCTGCTTTTTAGAAAGGGCTTCATGTAGCCCTTTAGCATCGGATACCCAGCATCTACCAAATAATACTTTCCTGTTATGAAAGACAATATTAATTTTAAAAAATTAATGTAATTAAGAAGAACAAACCTGAAGGTGAATGAGGAAAATACTGTGTTCTACTCCTAGTTGCATAGGAAAAAAGGCAACTGTCATGTACACTTCCTTCCCACCCCGCCATTACAAATATGAAGCACATGTTGAAGTCACACATTGCCATCACATTTTGGGTAGTTCTACCACTCCGACCAATATACGCGATCATTTCATGACTTGGTAGTCGGGCATCCACATGCTTACCATCGATTGCTCTAATGCAGTTCTGTAACTCATAGTTAGCAATACCACAGGTATTGAAGTAAACGTAACAAAATAATTAAACTTACTTTGAAATACGACATGTAACGTGGATCATTTGCAATTTATTCAGGAATAGTTGTGAACGATGGATCAGATGGCTTAATGTTTTTCGCTGTTAAGCTCACAAATGCTTGTATACCTTTATAGAAATATCAACTAATTGTTTGTGAGGAATGCTGAAATCGCTCCATATCTCCTCTAACTGATTCATTCTGTAATAGAATATATAATGTTATAGCCAAGACCTCTCTTGTGGTTGTCCTAGAAGAACCTTGGAGGTCGTGGTTACAACATAAGTCATGTAGAAGATCCATAAAAATGAGTGTTGAACCTTATTGGATGTCCAACAAGCATCTCACCATCCCATTTGTCCCCAACATATGAGGATGTCATGCGTGGTATTGGTCTAGTGTTGGAGCGGTAATATTCCAACAATAATATCACTATTGTTGCAGCCCATGCCATTCTTTTACGACGATCTCGTAGTTAATCCATCCTGAAGTTATAAATTCATTAGGATGAAATAATTTAGCAGAAAATGACATAAATGAAATACATCTAGCAGGGAAAGCATCTGAAAAATGACATACATGGAATACATAACATCAATAAATTCCAAGCATCATGAAATGAAGTTCATCAAACGAAATACAAAGCATCTGTAAATGAAGTACATCAAATGAAATACATTTTCATTCTTCTACTAAAACACGTAAATATTTCAGGCGCAGCTCGGGCCCCAAAACCATGAACATTTGCCTACGAGTAGGGTCCTCAAGTTTTTTAACACATTTAGCCTGAAAGTGTATATCAGCAGCTACTTCTGGAATAGTGTTTAAAATGGCAACGCAGTCCCAGATGGTGCTGTCAGGGGGAGGTGGAGCTGAAATAGCAGCAATGAGTTCATGAAATGAGCTTTTCAAGAAATTATCCTTCTTTTTTGTCCTCCTACCAAGCTTAGGCCTCTTAGACATGGAACTGGACTCTCCAATATCCTTTTGGTTAATACTAGGCCCTTCTTCATTAGCTATTACATGTTCGGGTGGCAATTCATCTGGTATTCCTGAAAATCCCATTTCACTTGGGTTCAATAAATTCTTTCCAGCTGTAACAACCCCCTTGAACATTATGTCCAGTTTTTTCGTGAACTCTGGGTCAATTCTGCACTACCTGTATTTTTTGGATGTTGTTGTTACCTGGAATATAAGGCTTTTATTAGAGGAGTTTAGGCATTAACTAAAAAATAAACAAATTAAGAAAAGACATCTGTATTTATTACCTCCAATCTTTCAGCCCACCATTCATCTGGAGCATCGATAGTTCGTAGTTCGTTTGATAGTTCGTTTAACGGGATCCCAACCCAATCCGGTAGAGCCACGTTTTAGCTCCTTTCATATTTTTCATTCTTTTTTCAATTTGTCCTGTTGACCTCATTTTTGGTTGAGGTCTAGAAAACTTCTTTAGTAGCCTAGGTCTAGCCATAGGATTTTCCTATTGACTAGTCTTATAAAATTAGAAAAGGTACCCCCACCATTAGAAATTCAAAACTCTTCTTTTTACTCAACTTGAAATTCCACATAATGATCTTAACCTCTAGCATTTAGTAGATAAGATCATTATAAGAGAATTCAAGAAGAATCCCTATAGGATTACTTGGCTTTAGGATTGACCCAGGGGGTTGACTTGGAACTAGGGTACACCATATCTTCA